GAATAGGCCCGTTAATAAATCGGTTATATATTGCGGTTGTTTGTATTATCTCTCATATGCATGGTTCGGACCTTTGTATCGCTTTATTCAGACAAAGTTTCCCTCCTGTCACAACACACAGAAACATCACCGGCGTCTGTGGTATGAAGTCATGGCCCTCGCCGTCACACGTAGAAGACACACGTTCGAGTCTCGCGTGAAGACATTTTTTCATCATCATGTACCTCGTCTTTCTGCTGTGACATTATATTCCTCACAACCTGGGTAGGCCTTGACAGGTAGAGTCGTAGTCCGTCTCCTTTACGAGCTAAATAAATAGTGTCGATGAGTCGTACATTTTAAAACCAAGAAAAATCCAACAAAGAAAGACAAACTCCCAAAAATAAAGCGCGTGAGAGACTGTTAACACCAGCGGAAATGTCAATTTTTTTGTAAATAGATTTAAGTATAGCGATTAAGTGAGCACAAATCAATGATCAAACATTCGCTGTCTTTCACATTTTGTCTGTGTTTTGACTTATAATTGCTGACATAACATGTAGCCCACCCGTCTAGTCTACGGGTTCCTACAGGTCGACCTATGATAAGATACAATTTTGTTTTAATCTGCTGTGGTAGTGGTAATGGGCACACAGGGTCAGAGTCATACCCAACAAAGAGTTGTATAATGAATCTGACAAACGAAGAGATTTACCCCTTTTGATTGAGGGTCGATATTGTCACTACGATGACTGTGACATTCAGGTCTTTATAATTATGTGCTGAATGTTTGCTCAAATAGTTAGAATAATGGTTATAATAGACTGTCAGCACTGACGTTCAGTATAACTGCACAAATCTGACTACAATAACAGCGATAAATGACCAGTGTCATTGTATATGATTATACGACACAGATATTATGACAATTAATACATTCTTGTTGTACATTTTTAAAGATATAATCTTCATCTTAATTTTTAAAAAACAGCAGTTATAATGTTAAAGTGTGTTGCATTAACACAAAGAAAGGGCGATGATTAAGCCTTGGTTTCCTTTGTACTGAGCGTATAAATCCAACTACGTTAATAGGGATAAACGGCCAGTCTTATCGAAAATAATTATGCAACTCATTTATCTAAACAAGTAATACACTCTTATCGAACAATTTTAATGACTTTTTTAAAGGAATAGCTGTAATGATGTAGACGTATTGCATAATCAAACAGAAAGAACGATCTTAAATTATCGTTATTTTTTGTCTTTCATACTTCCTTTGTACTGAGCGTATAAATCAAGGTATGTGCCTGAAATAAGAGATACGCCTTGCGCTAAAGTAACTGTGGTGTCGATGTCCCACACGTCTCTCCCACCCAGAATGTCAATTTCCCATACATGGGGAAACAACTCAACTTACTCTCGCAATGACAGCCAGAGCTTGCCTATGACAACTCTGTCCCCCTCTGGTTCATATTATGCAAATATCGTAAGCGATGAACAGTTGTATACGATCGAAGTAGTCAACGCGGTGGTCATCTCTGGTCTCCTCAGTCTGTTCGGCGTGGCCTCCAACATCATCAACATTGTGGTGTTTGCCAAGCAAGGCTTTCAGGACAGCATGAACATCAGCCTCATGGGTGAGATGGCAATTATCACATCGACAGTCACTAACAAATAACCAAATCTACAGTCACTTACAGCTAATGTGTCCATCCAAGAGTCAGGAAAAGAGAATCGACAGTCACTAACAAGTAATGTGTCTATCCAACAGTGCTAAACAGAGTCCTCATATGCGAGGTGAATGTAATAGACATTCTGATGAAATATAGCATCCAGCTCATTTACAATACTGTCAGCAATCTCTTCTACTTTTCATAACCTAGAAATGTATTTTAAAGGAGAGAGAAATGCATTTTGTTATCGCGATTTTCCCAACTTATAAAAAATCCGCCAATTCAAGTCGTTTGCGAAATGTCAAAAGATCTGCTACTGCATAGGAACATAATACTATGACACTGGGAGACACAAATGGCAATTCAAAACTTTTTTGACAAACAAAATATATTTTTCACCATGAGCAAGACAAATGAACAAGCTTTAAGGTTATGCCAATAATTCAATATGCCCAAACATTGTTGAGTACCTGATTCCACCGTGTTGTAGCAGGCTCGAATGTAGATACTTTAAGATCTCATCGACATAATTTTGATCATTTAGAAAGTTGCCACTTTTGCGCGGCCTGCCAAGTCCAGCCCAGGCTAGGGTGCGGGTGGGGTTGGGGAGGGGGGGGAGGATGTTTCAGCATTAATGTTAAGATGAAAACACTCGATAAAAAATCCGCCCCAACACCCAACTCTTGAAAAAAAACGCACACAATCTTCTGCGCGCGTTAGCAAAACTCCTAACCGCTACACCACAGACGTCGATTACCCGAAAAGTGAAAAGTGATTAAACGACCAGTAATCTGACTGCAGACCACTGTTCTATTGGGTTTGTTTTTTTAAGAACATAAATCGAAGTCCCAAAAAACCCACACAGTGGCTAAAACAAGTTTGGTGATCAAATATCCCAAAGCGGTAAAGATAGAAGACCGTATTTACTGAAGTAGTGTTGGGTCCTCATACTTTACTTAGCACGTCCCCTGGTGGTTGAGAGGGGAAATGCCTTCAGATATGGAGGTAACTGCTATTCATAGAACAATAGACCTTTTGAGTCATTGTACAATAATCTTGATGCCAGAAATAATGAGAAGACGACAGAAATTAATGTCTAATGATCAGAGACATCAAAACACAATTCGGCTTTCCTCCTGAAAGGGGGCATCAAAAAGGCTTTATTCACCTTAGCTTGACAGACAGAAAGTGAGCGTAAAGAGATATTGTTGAATGTGAAGAAAACAGAATTCATGGTTATAATATAAGAAGCAGTAAATCCTTTATGCAATGTCATAAGCAAAGGTGAAAAGATTAAACAAGTTCAATGGTTTAAATATCTAGAATGATATAATTACATGTTACCAAATGTTCCACAGAAATAAAACGAAGAATAACAATAACATTATGTTTTGCATTTTTTTCCACCCCGTAAAATGTTCATCTTTTCAGGGCTCGCTGTGTCTGACCTGTGCTCCTTGCTGACCATGATATGGATAAGCATCTGCCAGAACCCGCTTTTCTATCGTTCTGAGTTGAACTTTGACCCCCAGGATATCTTGTACCTCA